ATTTTCTAATTCAGTAATAGGAGTAGTCATTTCAGTATCTACAAGGTTTTCCTGTTGGGTGATGTTCAGATTGGGCTAAGAAGGGCCTGCTGCAGGTCCCGTGTTGTGTATTGCTGTTGCTGTATTGTTGTTGTTGATTAGGAGTCTAAGAGTAGCATCATTGTTAGGGTGAGGTGTATTGCCTAATATGGTAATATTGGGGTTGTTGTTGTGGGAAATAATTGTTGTGTTGTTGTTTTTTTCTGGGGACTCTGTTTGGATGTTGTTAAAACCTGTTTGGATGAGTTGGTTGTTGTTGTTATTGTAGTATGATGACATCATAATGGTTTTTGGAGAGGGTAAGCTGAATTGCTCACTTTTGGTGTTTGAGTGTGGTCTTGGGAGAAGAGTGCATCGTCTCTTGGAGTTTATGTTAGTGTAGATGGAGTCTAGTTTGACTGAAGCAGTCTTTTTGCCCTTTTTTTTTCAATTACTACTGTTGTGTTAGCTCATTTGGAGTTGAGGTTGAATAGTAAGGATAAATGGTACGAAACGGCTTTTAGGCCAGGTGTTTTCTTTGTTATCGGTTGGGTGGTTCTTGCTGCTCTGTTTTCTCTTGATTTTGATTACTTAGGAGTGTGTACTGGTGGTGTATAGATGTTGTTTTGTCTGTTTGACTATGTATTTAGTTACTTATTTAGTTGCTTTTAGAATTTTTGTTGTATCAATTTTTATTTTCTATTAAAATTGAGATCTATGGAAAAGAGTTTTTTTTTTTTTTTAAATTATTACTAAATGTTTTTTAAATTATTACTAAATATTTTTTAAAATAAAACTTATAATTATCAATAATATATAGTTATATATACTAACAAATTATTTTAAATTTTAGAAAAAAATTAAAATAGATGACAAAATTATAATTATTCAAATTCTTTGATCTGTTTTAATTTATATAACTTGATATCTATACCACTATTAAACTTTTTTACAAAATTATTAATTTTAAGATTTGAATATTTACTACTATACAAAGCTAATAATATAAAATATATTGCAGTAGTTTTTCAAAAAAATAATATTGCATAGTAAGATATACTAAAATCTGTTTAAATTAATTTACTCAAATCTACTAAAGATAATATTTTTAGTTTTTTATCTATAATAGTATTTAGATCTAATATATCTGCAAGACTAAATATTTATTTAAATATATAGATATTAGTTTATAATAACAAGTCATCATGATAACTCTATATGCTTGACTAACAAAACTGAGTATATAATTAGACTAAAGGTTGCTTACTATTAACCAATTAAAATTTTCTAAAAATGTTCTAAATTTTATAATAAAATAATAAATAAAATTTTACTAACCTTAAATTTGATTGGCTGCTATATATAGGAATGCTATAATTATGGGTCTCTATAAAAAAATTAACTATCTGTTATAACAAAAATAATTAGAATCACAAATATTGTTCAAAATAAAAAAAATAAAATTATATTATAATTATAAAAATATATTTAAACAACTATTATCAATAGCTTTAATTTTACCTATTTTCAAATCTGGTCTTTCTACTAATATTCTTCAAACTATTGCAAACTTCAACACTCAGCTTTCTGAAATTTCTTTCTATACAGATGGCTCTGTACTTGACTTTGGCTTACCAAACTATTCAATAGGTATTCACCAAGAGAATATATTATACAAATTTCAAGTACAAAATAAATATTGGTCTAGTTTCTTTAAAGCAGAACTAGTTGCTATACATTCAGCAATTATTACAGCTCTCAGATCTTGTACTATTCATATTTTTATTGATTCACAATTAGTTATCTCTAAATATAATGGCTTTAAACAATTACTACATCTTTATCCTCTACAAATTCCTCATATTCTATACTCTGGCATACTCTTATCAATTTTACTAAAGTATATAATTTTCAAATTCATTTTTACAAAGTTACTGTATACCAAGAAGATCAATTCAATAATTTGGCTAATCAACTAGCTTGATATCATCTTACTTCTGATTATCTTATTTTCAACCCTTATAACATTTATAATTCTAATTTACTTCTTAATTTGATAAATATCTCTTAGAGCTATTAATTCAAAGTACTATTTATACTATTTGCTATATATATATCTATGCTTTATGATTATCTTAAAACAAATTTCAATAATGATTACAAATTACTAATCATATTAACTGGTGCCAGCTATATAGCTTTATATAAACAATAATTAAAAATTACAAATTTTTTTACCAGTTTTTAATCTTTTATTTTTAAATCATTTCAAGTTAATATTCTTCTTGATGAGCTTTCTACTCTTTATACACTATATTAATGCAAACACTAACTCTCACTAAATTGTCATCAATACAACCAAACTAATACTTCACTACACTAGGTTATCTTCCTATTACTGGCATTATTTCATAATCTTATTAATAGCTCTTTATAACAGATCATTAATTTAACATCTCTAGATATTATACCAGAATTAATTACTATATTATAACCAAATTAAAAACTTTGACAATATGATATTCCATCATAATAACTATATTCCATCTATCTGCTCTATCCTGTTAGGTCTAATACTCCATAATATTATAAATCTGCACAGGTCCAAGTTTTAAATTTCAGTAGCATTTCTGTGAGATATCTGTGAGATATCGGACATCAATTTATCTGATAGCTCACCGATATTTGGCGCGTATCTTCACCTATTGGCAGAATATTGGCTTCCGATAGGCCTATCGGCAGAATATCGGTTTCTAATAGGCCTATAGGAAGCCGATATTCTGCTGATAGGCCTATCAGAAGCCAATATTCTGCCGATAGGTGAAGATACACGCCAAATATCGGTGAGCTATCAGATAAATTGATGTCTGATATCTCACAGATTTCTTACAGAAATGCTACCGAAATTTAAAACTTGGACCTGTGCTGCTTTAAGATATTATATTATTTACTAAATTAGCTTCTACAATTACTATAAAATTTCTTTTATATTTCAATTTACAAATTTATTATGATATTTGAATATTTTATTGCATTTCTCATTTTTCAAATTTATACTCTAATAACATCTTATTTTCTTTACCCCTGCCTTATTCTCTACATCTTTTATTTTCTCAATCTTCACTTCTTACTCTAGATAGCAACAAGTTAACATTTTGATATTCTTTATAAATTAAATACCAAACAAGTTTAACTTATATAATTACTAATTTTCAAATCTAGGTAAACCATGGCCATCCTAGTTGGTTTAAGTCGTAGATAAACTAGTCTGAGTTTCTTTTCTTGTTATCTTATAATATGGAGTTTAAATATATTTTTTCATTGTAAAAGAATCAAATTAAATTTTAATAAAGATAAAAACAGAGTATCACTATTAATATTCAAAAAAAAAACTATTATCAATAGTACTTTAGCTATAGCATTATACTTTTTAACTCAATTTCAATAATATTAAAATTTACTTTTAAAATTGTTTTATAATAAATTAAAATTTTTGATTTTGCTTAACAAGCTATTAAAAGTTTTTATTTAATAATAAATTTGTTTTTTATAACAAACATAAATTATATATTAATAGAAGTCCAGTTTTTATATTAACTTTAAAATAACATTTTGTTAAATTTTATCTTTTTTGATATAATACAATTTTCACATATTATTTACTTCTGAATTTGCAAAGTAATACCTATTAAACTATATTTTCTTAGATTATATAAGTTCTGACTTTCTCAAATACTTTTACTTATTTATTTTATATATTCCAATAATCTTGAAAAGAATAAAAAATGCTTACTGATCATTAGATGACATTATTTAAAAAACTAGTACATAAAAAGGGCCAAATAAATTATTTTCTATAGTATAAAATACAAAGAACAAGATTTTTTAAAGAAAAAAACACATTTATTAGTGAACTAAATATTTATTCTATAAAAATTTTTTATTATTAATAAAAGATTTTTATAAATTTATAGTCGATCAATTCTGTATGACATGTTCGACTGATATCTCTAAATGCACGTTTACTAAATTTTACATTTTTAGAGAGGTCTGACTGTATATTGTATAATGAAAATACTAAATAATATGCTATTTAATATATTGAACAATTTTTATATTGGCTATTAAATAAAGTATGAAATAAAAATAAAAAGCATTTATAAGGTTGGCTATTCATTAATTTAAATAATTTATATTAACTTTTGATTTAAATAGTTATAAACTATTTATATTTATTCGTTAAACTATTTATACAGAATAATTTACAGTCAAATTACCTTTACAACTGTTCTAAATATAAATTCGAAATTATAAGTAATGCCAAGAAAAACCTGTAAGCACTTACACTCTTACGATTTTTAATTTAACATTACAAGATTTAATTTCTAATAATACTATTTAGCATTAAATAAAACTATTAAAAATAAATTTTGTTTGATAAAACTTTATTTTGGTTTTTGTATACTGTATTAATATTGCTTACTAAAATTTTAAAGACCCTCTCGCATACACTTAAGTATTTTGTTTAAAACAAAGTATTTTTTTATGCTATAACTATACTATCTTTTATTTAGAAATAATCAACATAATCTTCTGTTTGTATCACGAAACTATCGTGTTATGAATTAGTGAAATCATAATTCTTGGTGGCAATGACACTAACATATATACAGTATATATATCGACCAATCAATTACCATTCGTAAGAATAATGAGCTATATAGTAATTAATACGCAATATTGATACCCATATCGAGAAATTTAAAAGTTAAAGTATATGTGTGGCGTACATACAGTATATAATAGCTTGTCAATGATGAATAAAAGTCAATGATGAAAGAAATATATAAATATCATGTCTGTCAGAATAAGTTTTATAATAAGTAAACACTCAATTTGAAAACATTTCAGAAAGCAACAATCAATATACAGATATATCTCTGCAATCGTTTACCAACTAATAAAGGATGTCTCAGTTATATAGTTTCCCACCCACGTTAAGTCCACTAGCTTATGTAACAATTTTTCATATTCCTTTGTTTGCATTTATATTTTTATCTCTTAAAAAACCCATAACCAGCAAGCTTCACATTTGCGTGCTCTGGATTATAATCTTTATTCAAGCATTGATACCCTTTATATATCATGGAAAGTATTACCCACGTATGCATTTTCAAATAGCAGTACTTGCGACACTTTATGCATCCAAAATGATAATATGGATGAAAAAGAATTATCTATTTACTATCAATCCAAAAACCAAATTTCCATCATTCGTCAGCACATTATTTAACTGGCGTATCAATATAGTAACCATTCCTGATGAAACGAATTATCAAAAATATATTGATTCTATAACTGTTACAGATCTTAATTTAAAGATGATTAATCACTTAATTAAAGCTATTATTAAATTTGTGATTCTAGATCTTTTAGTAGAATATTTAAAATACAACAAACCAGAAATCTCGGAAAGGTCATATAGACTACGGGTTTTAGATTACTTAATAACCGGGCATCCATTTATCGAAACATATACCTTCTTCTATTGCTTTTTTTGGTCTATTCATATAATTTTAGCCTTTTCACTCGCATGGAACAAAGCCTGTATTTTATTTGGGATAATCTTAAGACCTTTGTTATCCGATAGTGTAAAAGAAAATAAAAAACTGCAAGAACCAAAATCACTTAAAATAATCATTAAAGAATGGTTGATTCTTTCCCTATTCTACACGAAACCTCTAATGGGTAATCCATTCTTATCAATAGATCCCCGAGATTTTTGGTCAATTCAGTGGCATCAAGTATATGGTGAAATATTTCATGAACTTGGCTACCTTCCAGTTCAAAACTATTTTAAAAACAATAAAATTCTTGGACGCTTGCTTGGAGTCTGTTCGGTTTATTTGATAAGTGGATTATTTCATGACTACATAGCAATAGTGCTTTTTAATTATTTTTCAGTAGATTATATAACGTTTTTTTTGTTTCATGGATTACTTTTAATTGTGTGGGAAGCTGTTGAAGGAAGAATTTTAGGAAAGAGGAAGGATATTAAAGATAGAGTTATAATCAGGAGTTTTAAGAGAGCGTTATTTATACCACTTGTGCTGTTTACTACGCCGCTGTTTGCGGAACCTTTTATAAGGGGAGGATATATATATTCGGATCTAGATATATATACAAATCTAACTAAGTGGATAGATAATTGGAAAACAATGTGATTTTATTATTTACATATCTGGCTAAAGAAATTGGGTGTTTGAGTATTACTGTATTAAAGATATAATTATTTTATCTTTACTTGCATTCTTCCGTTTTACTCAAAAAAATATATTAAACATATCTGTGGTATTTCTTCCCATCCACTTTTTTGTTAGTGCTCAATTCTTTAATCTCATTCATTGTTATTATTTATCATAAATTCAATGTAAAAACATTTTTCATTAATTGTATTTAAATATAACATTAATAAAATTATGGATTAGTCTTTGTTTGACTTTGGACTCTGCTCATTTATGTCACCGTAAATTTTTCAAGCCGTCATCTTTTCGGAATCAAATTTATATAAACAAAATACAGAAAATTTAACATCCTAGACTAGTTTTGTTAGAATTGATTATATAAATCACTATGGAAACTTCCTTCTACTGCTATGCTTTTATTTGGAAATTTGGAGGTATAAAAATTAATCAATGTTCATTAATATGAAGAAAGTTTTTTGAAACGAATGCATAAAGCTAGATATCAATAATTATCAGTTTTCTAATAAATTATTTATCATACCATACATACGTGTGTACATACATGTGTTGAAAAAGTGGGAAATGGCTTCAGAGTACAGATATGAGTAGTAATTAGAGGTTCTGAAACTAAGCACTTTGCTATTTAGCATGACTTAGTATCTTTTTATTTCTCTTCTTGGTCTATTTGCTAACGCCGATATATAACTTATTTCTCTACTATGTAGTTGCGCTTGAGTTTAATTTCTATGTGTGGCGCTGATTTCCTGAACAACGAGTCAGTTTTCATAACATAAACGATCAGGAAAATTCAAATTCTAAAATCCAAATAAGAAACTGGTTAATCGCAATTAGTTTGATTAATTTATCATCTTTAATAACGATAAGGGATCGGGGTCAGACTACAAATTAATACTTTTCTCTTAACACTTTTCTCTTTCTTTTTACTAACGAAAAACAGTAGGTCTGTGAAATCCACGGCAACAAGAAATCAATACAATTAAATTAACCCTATTTATGTAAAAAGCACTTATCGCGCTTTTCAAACGGAAATCTCAAAATTTCCTAAATTCACAAACAAATCTAAATTTCTTGCTTACAAATAAAGATTTCCAAATTCCCCTCTTATTGTCACTTTTCTGATATTACAACTAGTAATATATGGAATTGGTTGTTTATCTAGCTGGATAATAGTGGGAATCTCTTTTTTTTTGAATAAAAAAAACTAATAAGTGAATAATATTAACTGACAAAATATCTTTTAAAACCATAATTAGCTGATATAAAACTGTTTTTTTTTTACTTTCTATACTTTAAAACTTTAACTAATAAGATTAGTTACCTTTGTTTTTTTTTACTAACCATAAAATAAAATTTTAAACTGTAGGCATTCGATTACAATAAATTACAATAAATTACAGCATGAATTATTGTGTCTTTCAGCTTATTTTAACCACTTAACAATGTTAAAATTTTTTTAAAGTTCATCATTAATATTATTTACGAATTGTTAAAGAGCCTTTAATATGCACTAATTTCTACAATAGATCATGTAATTAGGAAAAATATACTTTTTAATTTTATGAAAAATATACTTTTTAATTTTATTTACTTAATTTTATAAACTTATAAATGAAAGTACACTATCTCATTAATAGTTCAAATTCTACAGACTAGTAGAATTTGATAATGATTCTAAGCATCAAAATTGACCAGGCTGATATTGAGAAATTTCTCTACAGTTTAACAAAGAATACAACATCAGAACAGGGTACAAACATTAACTGATATAAATTTTAGACAATCACATACTTGTATTATTATGACATTAGATTAGATTATAAATTTCTGATTTCCAGATTTCTTGTGTTTAATACATGAGATTTGATGATCACAGTAATGTTTCGCTTGTGAACTAAGTCACAAGGTGATACATTATTGTGAGTCATTGAACCATACAAGGCCATGAGAACTCTCGTGCATAACGAGAAAATAAGTATATGAACGCTACATGTAAATCAAGCCTTATATTGGAGACATGCAGAGGAGAGAAATAAAGAAGTTAAGTAGTACCAAAGATATAGCTCTCCCCATTCCACATCAAAGAATGCTCTACAAGAATGTAACTTGTTCAGCGACTACATCACATATTTTACTACTAATAATTTGCTATATAGGTTGTTTGTCGCGGAAGTTGTGCATTCACCAAAAGGAACAGGTTCCATGACGAACAATAATAATTTGAGAAGCGCTTTAATAAATTTAATCGATTAATTTTAATCAAATAGGAGGACGGAGTATAATCTTTTAGTAAATAGATTTCTGCCCGTACCCTAATTATATATATATAAAAAAAAAAATTTATACCAAAAAATTTTAAAAATTTATATAAAATATATTCGCGAATATATTTTTTTCGCCTCACTTTACTGGTCTCTTTTCAAACCAAGTTCTACATTTTTACATGAATCTTTTGTTTAATTTTGTTATAACTCTCGTCCTCGCTTTACTCGGCCTTATTTGAAACATAAATGTTTTTTATAGAACACAGTAATAATTCCGCACATATTGCAGGATTAAGTCTTTAATCATATTTCAAGTTACATAAATATAATCAAATTTAGAAATATCAATTTTTTTCACTTGATCTTTCATTATGACCTTTGACATAATCAGTGATTATAAAATCATCCGTCTGTTTGACAAAAAGATTAAAAACTACAATCATAAATCTGATTAGAAATTAATAGACAAGCTAAATGAGAATTCTCTATGATCATCCCAACGTCGCTTCTGGATTTTATATCAAACTTATAGCAATAGCGATTGCACATATCCTAAATATCTTATAAAAAAGATGGATGAACATACGTACTGTACGTGAAAAAAGTTGATATAATCCAGTTCACGCATATTAATATTTAGGAAAGATGGACAAACAAAAAAATTATAAAGCTTTCAATCACTAAGATTAATAATTAGCAATCATTGGATATTTTTGTATAAATTGTATTTAAAACTAAGTACGTATAAATCTTATCGGCGATAGTAAAAAGGGATTCTGTATAAAGGCTTTTTCATCCACACGGTATACATGTCGAAATTATTTCTACTTGAGTCGAAACTTTTACGGTTTATGTCGTAAATAGTTTAGGATAAGCCGAAATGATTGCTTGTTGTTACGTAAGATTTAGTTAATTAAATTTAAATACAAAAATAAATTAATTTACAAAAATATTATAATAAGATTGCATGATATCAATTCAATTTAGATAGAATTATAATTTTAACTGAGATGATGTATTAATTGATATGATAGCTATAATGATAGCAATAATAATCTTAAAATTAACTATTTTTATTTCAAACTTAATTTTCTTAATACTGTAATATGGTTGATGAATCGACTCCCGCAAGTTTATCTTTAAATATGTCAACCCAATTATCTATAATCAGAAATAAAAATAGAACATTGAAACGAAAAAATGCAGGCGGGCAAGGGAAACATTTAGGATTACTACGTAACAAGTACCGTTATTAATCTTTCTGATAAAATTATTAGTTATGAGCGAACAAAGACTCGAATCCAAAGCGATTATAATACGGAAGATTCAATAAATTGAATGTTTGAAATGAATAGTGAATATGATTTATAATTAGATTAGTAAAAATTTATAATGATGCTAATAATATGTATAATATGTGGTATATTATGAAATTTATAAAGCATTAGCGTTAGATCGATGATGGGATCTTAGTCTGTAACAAGTAGTGCGCACGTAGTTTATATTAATATAATGCGAAAATTATTTATTATAGTTTATAATACTTTTAGCATAAATAATGCAAATTTATTTTATGATTTTTGCAATGCGATAAATTCTTGCAATTAAATATGTAAAATATACTTGATTTGAATTTTTAATTTATAATACAAAATTAATTTAAATTAACATCGCTAGTAAGAGTAGAAAGTAACACTCTTTATCTTTCACCTTTTTAACCATTTAATGCTTACAATCGTGTTAAGTCTAGTTGCAATGTGTATTAA